CGGGGTGACGGCAACACTGGCACAGACCCCCGTGGAGGAAAGCCCCGTCATGGCCCCACTGCTGGCTGCCGGTGTCCCCGAGGTGCCGCGGGGGAAGGCGGTGGATTCGGGTCTGGAGGAGGCCATCGGCCTCCTGGGCTCAGCCCTGGACGACTATCGGGGGCAGTTCCCGGAGCTGCAGCCCCTCGAACGGGAGCTCAAGCGCCTGGAGGAGATGCTGCTGGTGAGGGGCTGCCAGCAGTGCCCGGGGACAGGGGGGGACAGGGCCATCTTTGCTGGCAGTGCCCAGGGACGATGGGGACGGGATTATCCCTGCTCATAGTGCCCAGGGATGATGGGGACGGGGCCGTCCCTGCTGGCAGTGCCCAGGGAAAAGGGTGACGGGGCCATCTTTGCTGGCAGTGCCCAGGGACAATAGGGATGTGTCTGTCCCTCATGGCAATGTCTCAGGACGATGGGGACAGGGCCATCCCTGATGGCAGTGCCCAAGGATGTTGGGGATGGGGCTGTCCCTGCTGGCAGTGCCCAGGGACAATGGGGACAGGGACGTCCCTGATGGCAGTGCCCAAGGATGATGAGGACAGGGCCATGCCAGCTGGCAGTGCCCAGAGATGATGGGGATAGGGCCATCCCTGCTCGCAGTGCCCAGGGATGAGGGTGGCAGGGCCATCCCAGCTGGCAGTGCCTGGGGACGAGGGGGACAGGGATGTCCCTGACGGCAGTGCCCAGAGATGATGGGGATGGGGCCGTCCCGGCTGGCAGTGCCCAGGGACAGTGGGGATGGGGCCATCACTCATAGCAGTGCCTGGGGACAAGGGGGACAGGTCCATCCCACCTGGCAGTGCCTGGGGACAAGGGAGATGGAGTCATCCCTTATGACAATGCCCAGGGATGCAGGTGGCAGGGCTGTCTTGGCTGGCGAGCCAGGATGTGACCCCGCCATGCCTTCCTCCGCAGCAGAAGCAGGGCGTCTTCCTCAGCCGAGCCTCCAGCATCAGCCTGACGGTGGAGCACGCGCTGGAGAGCTTCAGCTTCCTCAACACCTCCGACATGGAGGACTCGGAGGGCTCTGAGGAAGAGCCTCTCCAAGACGAGAGGTGCACAGTGGGGCTCGTGGGACGGGGTGCGGGGCAGGATGCGGCCCTGGGGCAGTTGGGATGGGGGATGCCCAGCTCTTCCCGGGTGCCCAAGCACCATCACAGCTCAGGGCAGGTCCAGGTCGAGAAGCAGCAGGATCTGGCCCTTCTGGTGGCACAGTTCTACCCCGCTTCTCTCCATGGGGGCTGGGCTGGGAGGCAGCCCCTATGCCCCTGGGACCTGGTCCTTCACCCAGCCCCGATGCCGTCATACTGTAGGTCCTACAAAAACTCTGCCCTGTGGGTGAGGAAGGGCTTGGTCCAGTTTTCCCATGCTGACCTGCTGCCTTGGTCTCTCCCTGGCTTGCAGGAGGGCTGGCAGACCCCGGCGTGGCAGCAGAGCCCCCAGTGCCGGTGAGACGGGGGCAGACGACACTGGCATGTGCAGCGGCTCCGAGGCCAGCACCGACCCCTTAAGTACCGGCAACGAGTTCCTGGATAAGGCCCTGGTGCTTCACCTCAACAATTGCAACCGCCTGCTGCTGGTGAGGACAGGGGCTGGGGCATGGTGGCAGGAGATGTCCTGGGGAAGGAAGCCCTGGGGTGGGCTGTGGGTCTCCCCTCGAGGGGTGTCTCACCACAGCATGGAGGCTGTGGTGCGGGCGGTGAGCTGCGTCCCTGAGGTCCTCGGTATGGCTGTGCCTTGCAGAAGCTGGGCACCTTCGGTCCCCTGCGGTGCCAGGAGATGTACGCCCTGGACAGGCTGCTGCGGGAGGCGCAAGTGCTGGAGATCGTCTGCCAGCTGACGGAGGAGCGAGCGGGAGCAGCCAGCCTCTGCCGCCGAAGGTAAAGACACGCAGCCAAAGGGGACCATCCGTGCCACCCTGGGCGCTGCGCGGGGTTCAGTCCCCTCTCGCCGGCACGGCAGGGCAGCGAGGGGCCGTGCCCACTGCCGTGCCCCAGGGAGGTTTGACAGTGCCCTGTCCCCGCAGTGGTGCAGTTTTCGACGCGGAAGGAGGGGGTGCTGCCCCTTTGGGACTGCTGCGTGGAGGTACCCAATGTCTACACCTGCCCTGTGGAGCGGTTCCTGCAGGTGCTCCGCGCCCAGTACGCAGCGCCCATCAGCGAGCGGCACCCTCG